TATGAAAAATTTCTGTATCCGCCACTGTCTGTTACTAGAATAAATGGTGTCAATTCACCCTTAAATATTAAAAAAAAGGATAATAATCTGCCACGTCACTGCATGAATGGGCCTCAACGTCACGAAGTGAATGCCTTTAATAATCTGATGTGCATAAATGCATATAAACTAATAATTATGAATGAACCACCCCCAGTGGCCTTTTCCCTTTGTGAATTCTTTCTTTCTTCCAAGTGGGTTCTTTCCGAACCGCAGATTGAGAAGGGAAGCTAATCCTAAGCCTCGTTAAGTGGAATCGGATCGGATGGAGATACAAAAAAAAATTTTTTTTATAATATAAATAATAAAAAAAGAAATTGTTACTCGAGAAGTCACAAGAAGCAGGCAGTTTGCAATCAGCTGATTTTGCGTGGGATTGGCCGTGCTTTAAACTAATGTCCTGAAGGCGGATTCGCTTTATTTTTATTTTTGCTTTATTCATTCTTCTTTCATAAAATTTCGTCATCATCTCCAGGATAAACCTCTAGTCCTGTAGTCGCAGAACAAGGCCTTTAATTTTTGGTCCTTGGACAAAAAGGTCCCTGCGGTATGACGACAGCGCAACGAGAGTTAACGAAAATTTGAATAATTGCGTCATCTGGTTCGACAAAATGTGACGAAAGTCGGTGCGATTCATCGATGTTAATTTTTGAAAGCAAAGGGCGTTTTGTGGAAATTCCGGAAACGTACCGTTTTATAGCGTTTCAAACCGGAGGGCCGACTGGTTTAACCGGAGGTTAAACACATGGCGTGCGGGGTTCTGGCCGCTAGCGACAAATTCATTATTTTTTTTTTTGCTTGTTAGTGTGTCTGCGTGTGACAGGACAATATTAAAGCAGTCCATATTATAATAGTGTGATGGCACTATGCTACCTTCTTAAATCACTTTTTTGAATAATATTTATGGTCGTATCACGAAGCATACATCACGCACGAAACATACGGTCGGTTCTTTGCTCCCGCTGGGAGCAGACGGGTTTCGTCTCGTTTTCTTTTTCAGTCTTGTGGATTTCGCGTGAGATTTAATTTAGAGTTAGTGATTTTATTTAGTTTTGGGCTAATCGGGCCGGATCTCACACATCGCTGTAGGTGCTTATTGCAGGTTAATAACTTAACCCGAACAGCAAAGTAGAAACGTAAAAGGAGAGGTAGAAATGCGAGAGGTACATATTGCGTCCCTCGGGTCCTCTTGTGCGGTCCGGACGTGCACATGTGTACGTGCACATGTGCACGTTGCAGACGCAGATGTCTGGGTTCTCAATGAAATGCTCAAAATCGGCGTAAGATGGCGTTTGTGTTCCCCCAAAAAACTTTCGAAGTCGAGTCGGGACGCACCGGACCTTAGGAGAAGAGTTTTCTTCCTTTCCCTGTGTTAATCTCATCCTGATACTCGTAAAGCATTATTTGGTAAAAGAATAGTTATAATGTTTCAATGGCAATCAATAATTCTGGAAAATTTTAAACGCTGGGTTTTGTACGGGAACAGAGAAGTGTGAACCTACAGGTCACGAGTTATTTTCTCTCTGACGAATAAGCGGCCAGCTTTAAATAAACTTGAAAGATCGTCCCTGTGAAACAGGGTGGTATTGTTACCTATTGTTACCTATTGGCCCCACGATCACTAGCAAAGGACACAGTTCATGAGACAGCCGGCTCGTCCAGTGCGAAATGGGGACGCTGTCCGCGTGTCATCAGTGACAGCTCGCTGCCTGTCAGGGACGGGGTGCCGGATGACGGTGCCGTTAAAGCTCTCTTCCAAGCTGGTAATTGAGGTTCATGAGCAGGTTTTTAAACGCCCCTAAACCCGAAATGAATAGAGATAAGAAAGGTACACGTGTGTACCTTCATTGCTACGGGTACCTTTTCAACGAACGCATTTTACGCCATGCGTTTGTACCTCATAACGTACAACATATGTACCTCACTGTACGTTTCTGCTTTGCTGTGCAATCCACCGCCACAGCACCGTATTAATTAGATGCGTTGCTTAGTTTATTTTTTTATGTCTCTCACTGTGTCTGTCAGTCAACAGGGGAACGAAATTTTCGCTGACCACGGAACGGCCCGAGTAGGTTTAAGCTTACACCCTCTTTACAGATAATAATAGTCCCAACTAAATTAATTTATTAAACTTAAATTAAAACTCACTTGCGTGAAATTCACGACTGAAAAAACGAGACGAAACACGTCTGCTCCCAACGAGAGCGAAGAAGCGTCTGAAGTAAAGCGAAGAAGCGTTTGAAGTAAAGCGAAGAAGCGTCTGAAGTAAAGCGAAGAAGCTTCTGAAGTAAAGCGAAGAAGCGTTTGAAGTAAAGCGAAGAAGCGTCTGAAGTAAAGCGAAGAAGCGTCTGAAGTAAAGCTTCACTTCTTACTCGCAGGCGTTGAAGCCAAGAGGGCCCACGCGATGTAGTCCCAGTGCGATGTTTTTCCCTCGCGATGCTCTTTCCGCACACCTTCCTTACGGTGTGGATAGTAGCCATCACCGTAACGAAGGTCAATGAGAGACTCGTCCTTCGAGGAGGAAAAGGAGTGGCCGAGGGTCAGTCTCGTGAGATGAGCATGGGCCGCGGTGAGGATCGTAGTCGAGAGAGAATCTGGTCCGTCCTTGCGAGTCACTCCCTCGTGCTGAGGGCGACGATGGAGGCTTTCGTCTTCCTCCGAGCCCTCTTCCTCTCCACTCTCCATTTCCCGTTTTCGGCTCTCGTGTTTTCAGGTCAGTCCCATTCATGAGACCAACTTTCGTCGTTGTCCGTTCTTGGAAGGATCAGTAGCTCCGATCGATACCGCCCGTTCTTGGGATTTCGCGCTCTGCGATGAGAAAACCCAGGAACTTGATTATCGAAAGCGAAGAAATTCGCACGATCATTCCACTATGAATATCTTGAACCGAATGCGAAACGAAAATCAATCATTTCTGGACTTTTCCGCGCGTCCAAGCAGACAAGATTCCCTCGGCGAGTCTCCTCCCCGTATCCCCCCAGGCAGCGGAATACGGCTGCAGACTTCCCTTCGCCTGCGTCCCGTTCTACCTATGCTACAATGGGAACATCATAACGAATGGAGAGGGCATCTTCCATGGACGAGTTCGTCGTTCGGAGCCATCATCGCCCGTTAATGTGAGTCATCGATCAAACACAGTGGTCACTTGAAGTGATTTTTTTTCGGATTGGATTCATCAGGTCGCATTTCAGTCATGACTTCCTGATTCGGAAACGTGTTTTATCTCTTCATTTCTGTCGAGAAACGATCTTAATTGGAGAATTAATAACAACTGGCCATATAGGTTCCACATCGGGCAGGTGAATTCCCCAAGATGGATTTTCTTGCAGGATTCGAGCAACCCGTCGCAGCATTTGGACGGGAACTGTCCTAATTTCCTCGACGTGTGTTGCCTCGACCCGAACGCGAAGCCTCCGACGACGCCGAAGCCCCCGCCGTACGTGCCCAGATGCGGGAATCGGAACTACCTGGGAGCATACCACAACACCTTCAACGCCTCGCGCGAGTTGCACCAGTACGACCACGAAGCCCATTATGGGGAATTTCCGTGGATGGGGGTGGTCCTCACCACTAAGCCGGATGCGCCCGAGAAGGATCTCTACCAGTGCGGTGCCTCTCTAATCCACCCTCAGGTCGTCCTCACTGCTGCTGACTGCGTCGATGAGTTTACGTTAGTTCCCTTCTTGCTCTGAAGAAAGAATTGAGGAAGGAGATTGCCCGTTGAGGAAGACCTTCCTATATTCGATTTTCCGAGATATTGGAAGGAAAATAATGATTCCTTCGTTGGCCGTCATTAAAAAATAAGCAAATGCGTGCACGCATTCCACTTCAATGTGGCAAAGCGAGACTAGGGGTTCCTTTCCTCATAATACAAGGCTCGCAGAGTTCATAGTCCTCGACTTTGAAGGGAAAAAGAGGATGCCTTGTGACCGTGAAACACATATTTCACAGAACTCCTTAATTCATAGAGTTACAAATACGGAGAAATGCAAGAGAAAGGGTTCCCTATGCTGATGCTTAACGCCTGCCCATTAAGCTTTGTAGTGCCGCATTCGATGAACATGCAAGTCATCTTCCTTGTCTTGCTTGTCATCAGAGGTAGAGAACACAGGACACTCGACTCAGAAAAATTCCACCAAACCAATGAAGATGCCTTTGTGAAAATTCCACTATAGTTTCTTGAGATTAAATTTTGTCTAGACTACACAGAATAACGTTTTTAAGACACACGAAGTTGTCGACGGAAAGGACCTGAGAGCCACTCGTTTTCATTGGTAAGGCACCGTATGTTGGACTGCATGAGAAAATACATGCGATTAAGACTGCTACCCCGCTATGCCACTATCAGCTTTCATTGTATCATCGTTCTATCCATATCTTGGAATGGTGAGAGACTCCATCTGTTGATGATTTTTGTTATCGCCTGCAACTTTTGACCTCGTTGAGAATTTTTGTTTCCTTGTATGGCGAGCGAAATTTCACACGCTTCCATCTGTTCATTCCGGTCAAAAGGTTGAGTCTTTGTACTGTGGATTTGGAAATAAACGAGTTTTTCTCTCATAGAGAATTCCCAGGAAAAAGCGGGCTGAAGGTCCGGCTTGGAGAATGGGATACTACGGGCGCCAACGAGCCCTATCCGCACCAAGAAAGATTCGTGGAGAAGATAGTCATTCACCCCGATTACCGCAAGGGACCCCTCTACAACGACATTGCTCTGCTCTTCATGAACGACCCATACGAACTTCAACCCCACGTCGACACCATCTGTCTGCCTGAGCCGGGTTACCGGCGTCCATGGGGCAACATCTGCGTTTCCGCCGGGTTCGGCAAGGACAACTTCGGGAGAGAGGGCCGATATCGGACGATTTTGAAGAAGGTGGAATTGCCTCTGGTCGAGCGGATGGAATGCGAGAGGACACTTCGAAACACCAGGCTTGGCCAATGGTTTCGGCTGCACTGGAGTTTTCTCTGTGCCGGCGGCGTCACGGGACATGATACTTGCAAGGTAATGATATCACTTTCGATTTATGAATCTATTATTCGCACTTGCAGAATAGTTTCACCATTTCATCTTATTAAGCATTAGAAATTCATATTCTTTGTGCTGACGATTTATTTTTTTAAAAATATGTTTTATATTGTCCGTTCGATACGGAATTGCCAAATTCTCAATAAGTTTTTTTTTTAAATTGCTTCTTTTCTAGGGTGATGGAGGAGGTCCATTGGTGTGTTATGATCCCAATAAGGGATCCTGGTATCAAGTAGGAATTGTGGCTTGGGGAATTGGGTGTGGGAATGCAATCCCTGGAATCTACGTTGACGTCGCTCATTTCACTCCCTGGATTGATGAAGAGATCACCAGATATTACCATCTGAGGAAGTCCTATTGGGGATTAGACTCACATCAGGGTATACATGAACAAGGCCCTGCAGTTCCTGCGCAATCGTTTTCTTCAGCATCAATTGAAGGTATTTCGTGGTCCCCATCTACTTGCTCTGATACGATGAACATTTCTGGGAAACCTATGGCAGAGAACAAAAAGGACCCGCTTGGTCTCGATCAGAACCTCGACAACTTCGACATGGCAAAAATGCAATTTACAGCGCATCAAGATCCGAATCGATCTTACTTTTGTTGTGATTATTCGACTCAGTACTATTCATAAGATTTCTTAGTATACTCCCTACTTGACTCAACGTATACCTCGCGGACTTTTCGTTTCCTTCTCAAAAACACTTTCCCTCTATTTAAAGCTTGCATGTTGAGCAAGACATCGAAATTTCGAAAACCTGTTGGGAGCGGGAAAAAACCACGGTCGAAGGAAAAGTCACGGCCGAAACGAGAGTGATTTGAGGAAAACGAGGTCTGTGCCGGGGGGGAACTCAGGAAACCCATTTGTAACTCGTGCGTCCGGGAAGAGGTGGGTCGAACGCATGGGCTCGGTCGGCGACAACCGGCGTGATGCAAGAGAGGATCGGTGGGGCGAGGAGCAGTGAGAGTTTCACATTCAACCCTGCCCGCGTTTGTTCTTTCCGTGCGTTCGAAGTCGGTTTCAGTTGCTTTATTGATCTGAATAGTGAAAAGCACCGTCGACCTCGTTTTGCTGTTCCAGAAACGATGGAATCCTTTTCAACCACCAGAAACACCTCCTGGTGCTGATAGTGCTAATATCTCGTCGCGGTTAAAGTGTAGTATACAAAGCTTGGCCAGGAATAGTTCTGGTTCGTGTACGTCCAGAAATGCATTGATTAAATCGTTCCGTTCCATTTTTCGCCGATGTCGTTTGAGTTACCTTTCGTGGACGAACGATGACGCATCAGTACAGAGGTCAGTAGCTCCAATCGATACCACCCGTTCTGAGGATTTCGCATCGCAGGATGCGAAATCAGTAGAATTTTATTATCGAAACAGCAGATCCCCCGATCATTCCACTGTGAATATCTTGACCTGAAGGCAAGAGGGAAATCAATTACTTCTATTTTTTTTCCGCGCGTCCAAGAAGACAATGTTGCCGCGACGAGTAGCCTCCCCGGACCCCCCCAGGCAGCAGATTACGGCTGCGTCTTTCCCTTCGCCTGCGTCCCGTTCTATCTATGCAACGAGGGGGAAATCGTCACCGACATCATCGATGTCCAATTTGGCCCCGGAAAGGTGAGTCATCGATCGATAAAAACCTTCACTTAAACAGAACTTTTTTCCGGATGGTATTCAGCAAATCGTGTTTCGGACATGGCTTCCTGACTTAGAAACGCGTTTCCGCCCTCATTTCCATCGAAAAACGATCTTCATCAGAGCATTATTAACTACCGAAAATGTAGGTTTCCACATCGGTCTGGTAAATCCCTCAAGAACCGAAGAATCCACCGCACTTAAAATACCCGATTTTGAGAGCGAAGAACTCACTCTGGCGACTGGGGCGACTAAATAAATGCTATATGTTTGCTAAAAAATACTGAAGTGCTAAGCTCGTTTTGGGCCTGTTTTATCTGTTATTTAGTTAGATTACCTTTCTCCGGGATTTGTACGGAATTCAATTCCGCAATAACAATGAGTTGCATATCGACTGATACCTTTATGAGATGAATTTCCGTCAGTGGATAGTTTCGCGTCGTCGTTGTAAGAGAGAAGGCGCAAAAAAAGTGAAAATAAAGGGCTACATCTGCTCAAAAATGCTTAAGGAGCAGGGATTTTTTTCTCCACAAGAAACATTGTAAAGGTCAAGTTATGTACACTTCTCGGAAACTTTCATGGATTTAGGTTGCGACGTCGATGAGATTGGACACACGATTTACACTGTTTAACCTTTCATTGCGAAGTGTCCAAGTTTGTGGTCAAATTTGTGCAGTGGAATATAGAACATAAGGCTTTATGTTACAAGGAAAACGGGCGTTCACTCCCTCCGTTCATCGTGACTACTCCTATGTTGAACGTGCGCCCGCCCGCCCCTCCTTGCTAGCATAGGATTCAAACAACACTTTGCCTGAAAAAATTACGACTTCTTTTAATTCTCAGATAAAATATGCACTAACACAATCTACTCACCAAGGGCTTGCCATTCACATATCACATGTACCATTCCTCACCTGGTTTATTTGGAAGAATTTCCCTTGGGGTTGATTTTTAATAATAGCAGTGAAAAGAATTCAATTGATAATCAGGTGTTAAGGGCGTCGTTGAGATCCAAGAGACTGCGTAGTTCAATTCAAGAGAAAGCATCAAAGCAGTTGCATCGGGAAAAAAGGTAACTTTTAAATTAATGAATCCATTACCATGTCACATTTATGCGCAAGCCTACATACCATGACAATTAATATGAGACCACTCTCACCTTCCCATGACCTTCATATTTAGGTGATTCAGTTAATTGCGTAATGTATGCGTTGTTATATTAAAAGTGTGAAAAGACTAACTCCGCTCCCGCATTACGTAGCAGCCGAAAAGAAAAGTGATTTGGAATTTGTAAGCGTATAATCAGTGGAGTTATGAGCAATCAGCTGTAGAAGGATTTTTGTTTCAGGATTCGAGCGACCCGCCGCAGTTGGTGGGCGGGAACTGTCCAAATTTCCTAGACGTATGTTGCCGCAACCCAAACGCAAAGCCTCAAACGACACCGATGCCCACCCCGTACAATTCCAGATGCGGAGTTCGGAATAACTTTAGTATCGACGTCGGCATCACCTTCAACGCCTCGCACGACCAGCACAAGTACGACCACGAAGCTCAGTATGGGGAATTTCCGTGGATGGGGGTGGTCCTCACCGCTAAGCCGGATGCGCCCGAGAAGGATCTCTACCAGTGCGGTGCCTCTCTAATCCACCCTCAGGTCGTCCTCACTGCTGCTGACTGCGTCGATAAGTTTGCGTTAGTTCCCTTCTTGCTCTCATTCGTGACATGAAGAGAGCGGGTTTGAATTAAAGTAAGAGAATGCCCATGGAGGAAGAGCTTGATTTATTCAATTTTCTGAGATTTTAGGAGGAAAATAATGATTCTTTCATTGGTCGCCATAATAAATTTAATCAAATGTGTGCACGCATTCTACTTCAATGTGGCAAAGAGAGACAAGGGGTTCCATTTCTCATGCTACAAAGCTAGCAGAGTTCTTAGTCCACGTTTTTTAAGGAAAAATAGAAGACTTGCGACCGTGAAACACCTATTTCACAGAACTCCTTAATTCATAGAGTTATGAATACGGAGAAATGCAAGAGGAAGGCTTCTCTATGCTGAAGCCTAACGCTTTCCATTAGGCTTTCCATTCGACGAATCCCCTCCACGCTTGTCACCAGAGGTAGAGAACAATTGACACTCAACTCAAAAAATTTTCAGCAAACCAATAAAGTTGCTTTTGTGAAAATATCGCAGTAGTTTCTTCACAGTAGCTTTTTCTCTAAACTACCGAGAATAATGTTATTAAGGCACACGAAGTTGTCGACCGAAAAAACCTGAGCGCCCCTCTTTTTTCAAGTTTTCGACGTTGCTAAGGCAACTTATGTTGGACTGCATGAGAAAATACGTACGATTAAGACTTACTACCCCCTCATGCCATTATCTGCTTTCAATGCGTCATGCATTAGCATTCTATCCATATCTTAGAATGGTGAGAGAATCTATCTGTTGATGATTTCTGTTATCTCTGGCAACTTTAACCCACGTTGAGAGGTTTGTATCCTTTTATGTGGAGAGAAATTTCACATTCATCCTTCCGTTCATTCAGGTCGAAAAGTTTATTCTTTCAACAGTCGATTTGGAAATCAATTAGCTTTTCTCTCATAGAGAATTCCCAGGAAAAAGCGGGCTGAAGGTCCGGCTTGGAGAATGGGATACTACCAACGACTACGAGCCTTATCCTCACCAAGACAGATTCGTGGAGAAGGTGGTCATTCACCCCGATTACCGCAAGGGACCCCTCTACAACGACATTGCTCTCCTCTTCATGAACCACCCATACGAACTTCAACTCCACGTCGATACCATCTGTCTGCCCGAGCCGGGTTACCGGCGTCCATGGGGCAACATCTGCGTTTCCACCGGGTTTGGAAAGAATTCCTACGGGAAAGAGGGCCAATATCAGATAATTTTGAAGAAGGTGGAATTGCCTTTGGTCGAACAGATCGAATGCGAGAAGAGATATAGGTCCACCAAGCTTGGCCAATGGTTTCGACTTCACAGGAGTTTTCTCTGTGCTGGCGGTGTCATGGGAGAAGATACTTGCACGGTAAAAATATCCCAAACGATTTGTGAATCCATTAATTGCAGTTGTAGAATGGTTTCATCGTCTCATCTGGTTATTTTTTAATAATCGATAGAGTTTCGCCCTGGTGATTTATTTTCTCTATATCATGCAATCCCAGTTTGATATGGAATTGCCAAATTCTCAACAGATTAAGAAAAGTATATTTCCTTCTTTTCTAGGGTGATGGAGGAGGTCCATTGGTGTGCTATGATCCTGATAAGGGATCCTGGTATCAAGCAGGAATTGTGGCTTGGGGAATTGGGTGTGGGAATGAAATCCCTGGAATCTACGTGGATGTCGGTTATTTCACTCCCTGGATTGATGAAGAGATCACCAGATATTACCATCTACCCAAACCTTATTGGGGATTCGACCTACGTCAGGGTATACCCGAAGAAGGCTCTACAGGTTCGGCAACAAATCCTGCAGTTCCTGCGCAATTGTTTTCTTCAACATTAATTGAAGGTATTTCGAGGTTCTGATCTACAAGCTCCTGATACGCTGAAATATTCAGAAAACCTATGTCAAACGAAAAAAAGAGCCCGCTTTGTCTCGATGTGATCGTCGCCATGACAAAAATGCAGTTTACAGCGCATCAGGCTCCGAATCTATTTTTTTTGTGTGTGTGCAGACATTGCGCTAAGTACTATTCATTGGAGTATTTAGTTTACTCTTTCCGACTCAAAGTATTTCTAGGGGACATTTCTTTTTTAACTCAAAATCTCTTCCCAACCTAATTTTCGCTTTCTGAATGATTTATCGAAATTTCGAAATGCCAAAGGGAGCGGGGAAAAGCCAAGGTCCTAGGCAAATGAAAGGTAGAAACGAGTGTGATTTGAAGAAACCGAGGCCGTATAGAAAAAGTTTCATGTTGAAATTGAATCCGGTGAATCAACGGTTATTCACCGTTGAATTACCGGTTTTCAACGTCTATTCAACTGGGGTTCAACACTATTAACCATTGAGTTATAATTATTACATTATATTATGAATAACTTACTTAAAGCAAAATTTATGGACACGTACAGTGAAATGTGATTTCAACAGCGAAATGGAGATGAACCAATATCCATAGTGGAAATACTTTGATGTAATTCTCGGACGACCGATGATGCATTAGTATAAAGGTCAGTAGTTCCAATCGATACCACCCGTTCTGAGGATTTCGCACCGAAGGATGCGAAATCAGCAGAACTTTATTATCTAAACAGCAGATCCCGCGATCATTCCAATGTGAATATCTTGACCTAAAGCCAAGAGGGAAATCAATTATTTTTGTCTTATTGCGCGCGTCCAAGAAGACAAGATTGCCGCGACGAGTCTCCTCCCCGGACCCCAACAGGCTGCGGAAGACGGCTGTGAACTTCCCTTAATCTGCATCCCGTTCTATCTATGCGACGGCGGGAACATCGTCACCGATGGAGAAGGCATCATCGATGCTCGAGCCTCTCCTTCGGAATCATCATCGACATCACCCAAACTTGTGAGTCATCGATCTATCACATTATTTCCACTTAAAAATGATTTTTTTTCGGATCGTAATCATTAGATCGTATTTCAGACATGGCTTCCTGACTCTGAAAGTGTTTTACCCCCTTTTTCTGCAAAAAAAAAATCTTCATCGGAACATTATTAACTACCGACCATGTAGGTTTCCACATCAGTCAGGAAAATTCCTGAAGAACCGAAGAATCCAGAGGTCCTAAAATATTCGATTTTGAGATCGAAGAACACACTCCGGCGACTGGTGCGACTAAATAAATGCTAAAATGTTTGCTAAAGATACTAAAGTGCTAAGCTCCTTTTGGACCTGTTTTATCTGCCATTTAGTTGGTTTACCCTTCTCAGTAATTGTTCGGCATTCAATTCCACAATGACAATGAATTGCATATCGACAGATACTTTTATTACATGAATTTCCCAACAGTGGACAGTTTCATGTCGTCGTTGTACGAGAGAAGGTATACAGTAACTTAAGGGAAAATAAAGGGCTATATCTGCTCTAAAATGCCAAAGGAGAGGGGATTTTTTCGATTCCCTATAATTTCCCTAGGTGACAACTTGTCGAATTCAATTTGTCGACTACAACTAGCCGAAAGTTCATTTTGTCGATTTCACCGACTTACAACTTACTGACTGCTCAACTCTCCGAACGTTCAATTCGTCGAATGACGATTCGTCTACCTATAACTCGCCGAAGACTCATCTCGTCGAATCACGATTCGCCGACTTATATTTCACCGATAGCTCAGCCCGTCGAAACTTCATTATTCCTTGAAAGCAGAAGCTGAAGCACGAATTATTTTCATCCATCCTATAATAGTGGGGTTAGAATTAGCCCACCTATATCATCACGAGAAGGTCTGCAGTAAATCGTTTTGCAAAGTATTAGTCACTTAACATATTTTCATCACTGTTCAGCCAGAGCAGGATCAGACTTCGCCTGGGTGAGACGGTTTCCTTTAGACGGGTCCCAACTCCCCCACGGACAGAGTGAGAATTTTGGGGTAGGGCATGGCAACCAGCCTCATGTGGCACCATGGTTATGGATTAGTGTCAATGAGGGTGGAATGAGGGAAAAGGGCGTCTCTGTTTTCTGCCGATTTGTCAACTTGGGCGATCTCTATCGGAGCGTCTTGGGACTGGGCATCAGCTTCCAACTCCTCTGCCTTTCACCCGAAGGGGTAAAAGGCAGAGTGAAAATTGCCGTTTCTAAGTAAAAGGATGCAGAATTTCCCAAGTTCTTCACGAGTATTGCTCATAATTATTATTTATTATTATATATTTCTGCTGAACGATGACTTCATAAAATTCATTTTCTACAAGAAGTTGAATGACTTCAATGTTTCCTGTCACCTCATCCTTAGGAACACGTAAATCTCTCAGTCTTAATTATTTGAAACTTCTTTCAGGTGTTGACGAATTCGGTTACCACGTATAAAGCAAAATTCGTTTGCCAATTAAGTCAGCCAATTGAATGCCTGGAGAGTTCTACTCGCCAGTTTACATTTCAAGGAGTTAAGCTTCCGAGTTGGACTATCGGTTAATATTGAGTCAACGAATCGTGATTCGACGAATTGAACATTCATCAAGCTGAGCAATCGGCGAATTGGGTTCGACAAATCGTCATTCGGCTAATCAAGCGGTCACCATTTTTTCTTCCCAAGGAATGTCAATAAAATCAAATCAAGCATATTTTTCGGAAACTGTTTTGGATTTTGGTTGCAACGTCCATACGATTTTAAAAATGCTTTTAACCTTTTATTGCATAGTGTCCAAGTTTGCGGCAATAGAAAAAGTAAAAGTCATTTTAAAGCCCAATTCTACACCATTTTAGAAGGATGTCATACCCATCTTTGTGGACATCTCAACCATGAGAACTAAATGAGAGGCTATGTCACTAACTAGTGTTCTTCCTTACAAAACATCCACCCCCTGTAGATTTGGAACCGAGTGGATCGGCGTCACTGCCACCTGTTAGAGGGATTTCCACTCGAAGGAAAATCCACCAGTAGGGAAGATCCATCTGGCTCGAAATACATCGCGCGGATGAATAGGGGGATTTCCACCGGGGGGAGGGGGGCACGTCCACCTGGTTCCAAATCCACCCCCATCCAACTAGTTGTTTGACAAGGTAGACAGGGTGGACATCACGTTGAGGCTGACACGTTTTCTTTTGAAGACATGAATGGCACCTCCGGTGGCCTTAGTTGGGGGTCGCAAGGCCATCCTCAGAAACACCAGCGCAAAACCGTTTTTGAGTGAAAGCTCATGAAGACGTGATTTTGTAATAATGCTTTAGATCCGAACTCCGGTACTGTTGCGCACCAGGTTTCATTGCGAATATTATATTTGACGGATTTTTTTTTTATTGCGGCACATTCTTAAAAAAAAGAATAAACTGCATTTTCATATTTCTAAGAATTCTGAAATGCATAAAGATTGATATGTAACGTTACTGTTCAAATGTCCAAAAATCGGAGAGGCAAGTTTAGGAGCTACAGTAGCTAATAACGTGCCGACGATAAAATGTGTTGCTCTACAGGTGAGTTTTCCTGTGGTGTCGAAAGCGGGCACTACCTTCCAATAAATGCTTTGGATTCCCTGACCTATTGTGGTGAATGCATTTTATTAATCCGGAACCGGGTTTGCATAATTTTTCACTTCTCATCATAGAATGTAAGCACGAATACTTTCAGAAGTTGGCAAGAAAAGAGATTTTAAAAGCAATTCCTTTAAAATATTAAGTGAATAAAGTGAAAATGTGAAATTGCGAACTGCATTTCCGCTTCACGTAGAAGTTCAACGGGAAAATCAAGTTAGAATTTGCTAGACTTATGAGCAATCGACTCTAGAGGAATGTTTGTTGCAGGATCGGAGGGGCCCGTCGCAGCTGTTGGGCAAATGTAGTAATAATGGAGACGAGTGCTGCAGCCACCCGAATGCGGAGCCTCCATCGACACTGAAGTCCTCAACTGAGCGGAAGTGAATACGAGGGAAATTTATGAGTAAAAACGAAGTTCAACAATATTTCCAAATTTCTTAGCTCAGTCTGGACTTTGCACACGAGTTTCTCATTCAATCGGTACATGAAGTAATGTGAAAACCAATTTTCAATGGCTTTCCCCTTCTTCAACCCTCTACGGAACTCACTAACGTCAGGCCTAGGCCTAACTAACAGACTGCCTTCAGGTCACACCAAGGCCTACCTATTTATTTTCAAAGGAAATTCGATTCTCGACTTACAGCGCCAATTAGACCCAAAAGGCGTGAAACGTGGTCTTCGAGACATGTGGTTGAGGACGTGTAACGTCAGGCCAATCGCAAGCCTATTCATACGTTCAAGAACCCTTTCATGGCGCAAGTGCAGCGCTAGACCGAATGGAGGCCTGTATCGCGTTTCATGAAGCATTCAGTGGGACGTGGAACGTGAGGCCTATCTGGATTTCCTCGTATCATCACGAATAGGTCTGAGGAGAGAATGCCTTCGAAAAGCATGGAATCTATGGTACGCGCGATCCTGTTAATTCAGGGATATCCGGATATCTGCATATCGCACCACATCGATCAATAACTGCTAACCACCGCTTCATTCTCACGTCAACTCATGTACTCAGCACGAAAATGTCTGATACAAGAAAAACAGAAAATCCAGACGCCAATACGAAGTTTGAAACAGTCTTGAATCTGGCATAATATCCGTACGGTATCCGGTAACATTGAAGGGCAGTACCGGAGCAAGCACTCTAATCGTAAATGAAAAGCTAATTTCATATTTTATGGCGAAATGGAGCACCCCAAACAACAATGAGTTGGTCTATCTTTTAGTTCGTCTTTTTTATCTCCTAAAACCCCCTCGGTGTGGCTACCCACGGGGGGGGGGGGGGGGGGGGGAATTAAATTCCC